TGGAAGGGTATCCGCTGCTTAAAACATATTGTCATCTTAGAATTAAAGGGTTCTATCTGACATCTTTGTCAAAATTAGGTTATTGACATATTCTTATTATTTTACAAATTATTTACATAATGGGATGTTTTTTATTAGTTGTTTACATTTTAAGACTTTTTATTTAAAAAGTCAACTGTTACACACACTGTTTGCTGTGGAATGCTAAAACTTTGAAGCTCAATAACTCAAAATCTTTCAGAATGCAGATAGAACCTTTTAATCCAAGGTGACAATATGCCGGAATAGTTGGTGGTTTATCCTGCTGTGACGACCCCTGTTAAATTAGGGACTAAACTGAAGGAAATTGGATAAAAGAATGAAAATGTACTCATTTTATTAAAAAAATTTATTAGTATTAATTTATTAAAATTTGATATATTGTTCTCTGAAATCTGCATAGTAGGTATGTAGTTTAACTAAGTTCAAAAAGATTTATAACCAAAGGAATTACCCCTAGAATGCAAAGCACGTGTTTGACCATATTTAGAATGGTCATGAAAATTAATAAGCACTGCTCTTCGCAGCTTATGCTAGTGCATGCTCACACACATGCACAACACTCATGCAAAATAATCAAACTCAATTTGTCAAAAAGCCTTGTCAAATGTCTATAGTTTCATGTAACATCATACAAAACTTTTATCCAAACCTAATTGCTATCCCCCACGTAACCTTACCTGTAAGTTGTGAGAAAATAAGAGGGAAAGATACAGATGAATAACTATGAAAAACCAGGGTGCTTCTATCCCTGATTATAAGCCTATCCCTCAAATATCATTGGTTGATTAGAATTTTGTTTCAGTTTTAAAAAAGAACACATATAATAGACACTTAATATTTAAAGGACCACGAAACCCCCCTGTTTCAGCAGGGGTTTTTCACACCTCTACTTTGGAAAAACTCAGGAAAGTGGGCGTTTCCAGCTCTGTTTAGGTGGGAGTGTCGGAGGAGTGAAAGAGGGAAGGTCTGTAAAAATTTGCATAAAAATGGGAGTGTTGGTTTAAGCACGTGCTGATTTTCACAGTGGCAAAACAAGCACACAGACGCAGGCAAGAAAGACAGTGACTGTGTTTACATGGACATCAGTAATCAAATTATTTGCCAAATTATTAAATGGTGGACTTTAACTGCAGTTTGGCTCTTTCATTCAGGAATTTCATTCATGCCCCTCGTGACAAATAAGATATTTGATTCGAGGAACTGCTGTAAACGTGTATTTTTCATGAAATGTTTTTACTGCATGGCGAATGAGAGAAAAAAACCTCTGCATTTTTCTGTAACTTAGATACACTCGGTAGGTAGCGTCAGATAGCTGTGTGTGTTATTCCTGTCACAAAATGCAGCGAAAATCCTACACGACAGTAATAGTTTGATTGTCGTGCTTCCATGTTTACACTTTAAGAGAAGCATTTACAGCAGATTTTTCATTCCATAATATTGTAATGATATTTCCCCGTGTAAAGTTTAGTAACTTAAAAATCATTTGACTAAGGTTTGTCTTTAAACACTGAAACAGTACTGCTGACGATACAAACTAACTTTGCCTTTGAATAAACAAACAAAGAGCACTGATCGCTCATTTACCAAATCTCTAGACAAGACAATCAACACCAACTGGGGCCACGTCTTTATTAAAAGGAGACAAGCAGCTAATCCGGATTTCACCATTTCCAGATGAGAAAAGCTTTTGGGTAAAAAATGTTCCTTAGACACGTATTTCTGCCACACGTTGCGTGCACAGTAATCCACACGTGACTCCAGCTGCACTCTCATAAAGGGAAAATAAAAACAAAACCTTCACTGCAGCAAATTATAAAAGCAACACTAACGACCCGTATCTCCAAACAATTCTTGTTCTCCTGCTTGTTTTGGCAACACAACGTGGTGTCTCTCTGCCGTCTGAACACTGTAACAGGTAAAAACAGTCTTCAAAGCTATCATGCATATTAATGAACTCGCATACACAATAGAGCGTGCTGATTGGTTTGAACCAAGTCTATCTAAAGAATGAATGCAGCACACTCAGAGAGGTCACAAGGTACTCCCAGGTACAGACATCCAGTCTACACACTGAAATACACGCCAAGATCTCATGGCCCTGACGCAGCTTCAATAATTAATTTCAAACCGGTAGTACGAATTTGCTCAAAATAACGCAAAAACAACCAATTTTCACTTTTTTGTAAAATATATGTGTCCTAATAGAGTTTTTAGCCACGTGGGACACATTTACGACTGTCAACAACTCAAAAAATGTGTTTTGGTGTTTCGTGACCCTTTAAAAGTATGCCAATAAATTGCTTTTGATAAATTATAATTTGCTCTGGGTTTGTAAACAGCTTTGTTTTAAGGGTCAATTTTTTTCGCAGTTACTCGATAATGACTCGCTTACCTCATCAGTGTGTGTGTGTGGTGCTTTAAAAAAATTCAATAAGGCAATGGGCCTCATTCCATTTGGCTATGCAATGAAATACCATTTCCCCTGACTGAAGGCTGATTTATACTTCTGCGTCAAACGCTCGCGTATGATACGGCGCTGATGCATAGCCCTTCGCCATGGCCGTCGCTGACGTGCACCTCTCAAAAATTGTAACTACACGTCTCAACAACGCATAGCGCAAGCTCTGTGATTGGTCGGTTTGGTAGCGCTGACGAGTCTGGGTGGGACCGAGAGCCAAACGCGAGCCCAATTGAGCAATTGTTTACAAGCGTGGAGTCCCGTGAAGGAGCTCCGGATGGAAAGTTTTGTTTTGTGTTTACCTCATAGTTAAAGTTGTTGCACGTCCGCCGGTTCCTGCCTCAAAATGAGTGAGTTTGAGCCACTTGTGCGCCAGGAAGTGTTCAGGAAAAGCAATACAGCAGAGAAGAAACTCGACACAGAGGAATATTAACACCTCACTGCCCACTAGCGTTTCGGAAGTGTTAATTTAGACCAACAGAAACAGCGTGCAGAAGTATAAATGCACGGCTACGTGCGTTGCATGCGCCGTGGGTCACGCCGGTCACTTGACGCAGAAGGTTTATTTTCCATTTCTTTCAATTTGTGGACTTTTATTCTCATGTCACTCTTGTCTTTAACTTGCTTGGTTAGGGTCCATTGAGCTGCATCCTTCAACAGTGACATTCATATTATACTGAATTGAATCATTTTTTTAACAAACTGTTACTCGGCTACCTGCCTGATATTCAAAATATGTCTTACAAACTGAAATGTATGGCTTTTTATCCTTTTTCTTTTTCATCCACATAAAGCAGCTATAAAGGATATAAAGCTATAAAGGATAAAGCAGATATAAAGGGCCCTATTACCCGGCGCAATATGGTGCAAGGCGGGACGCAATTGTTGTTTGCTAGTTTCAGCTTGGCACAAGAGTTGTTTTGACGTTTTGCGCCACGCTGTTTAAATAGCAAATACATTTACGCTCATATGGGTGCCCATAGGCGTTCTGGTCTAAAAAGGAAGGCGTGTTCAGGTGCATTGTTGGAGCGTTGCTATTTTAAGAAACTATAATAGATTTTTCAATAGACCAGAACAAAGCCGGTCTGTTGTCCAGAGCAGAGCGTGTTAGTTGTGCACCTTTCTTACACATTGCTTAATACACACAAGATGTAGAGCAATACACAAATATCTTTACATATGAAAAATAATTAAAATATTAAGGATATATATATGTAGGATATAATAAAGATATACAGTATGTCACAAAAGTGAGTACACCCCTCCCATTTCTGCAGTGTTGTCCTATGAAAAGCTATAAATAAATATTTGCAGAAGTAGGAGGGGTGTACTCATTTTTGTGACATACTGTATATACATAATATAAATATAAAGGATTAAAATATTACAAAACATTATTTTCTAGCCTACATAAATATAAAAACGATACTTTCATGCCTTCTTCATCTCAGGGGCTTTTTTCAGTTTATTCATGACAATTTGCGTTTGTATAATATTATTATTAGCAGTATTACTTATTGTATGCATATTTATATTTGTTTTATTAAAAACAAGCTTAGATTTGCCCACCTGTCAGGTTTTAGACTATATGGGGCACAGCATGTGTATTTGGATATAACTTTTTGACCACACTTCGTTATTATTGTTCATTTATTCATTTGCTAGAAATTAGAACTGAATTTAGAAATTGTTCTGAAACAAATGTCTGTGCTTAACAGACAAAATTAATTATTTATAGGCTAATTGATGTCTGTGCTTACAAGGTTTCCTTATCCACAAGAGCGAAAGTGCAAGTAGATAATGAGGAGGCTCATCTCTCATTTTCACGCTGTAGATGCTCTGTTTACCTGTTTTCTTGCTAGTGAAATGCTCAGTTTTTCCACTTAAACTTACTTTACGTCATGTAAATAGCAAATGTGCCATGGCGCGACGCAACTGGCTCTCATTCCCTTTCATTCCCTGGCAAGGGAATGAAAGATGAGACTCTGATTGGTTTATTCTCAAAACACACCTATAACTCATTAAGAAAATAAACTCAACCCTTTTAGACCATGCACGGCGGCGCAAATCGGATTTTTCGTCTTTAAATTAGCAAAAGTGGATTCTGACATGCCTTTAATGCGTTTGCGCATGGATCGTCAAAATAGAGCCCAAAGTCTTGATTGGATCATGTTGAAAAGTAACTGGTTCAATTAATTGAAGCTTTGAAAGGTTTAGTTTCTTCTATCCCTAGTGCACAGTCATTGCCCTTTAAATAAAGCAACAAATAGCAACATTTTCAGCCGGTCATCAGCACAATGAGTAAAGTTACAAGTACTGCATTTTTACATTTAACTTATTCTGTTTAAGTTATGCTTAAAATGATCACTTGTTGAGTTTATATTACTTTCTATTTTGTACAAGAAGAATTTTCAAACTAAATACTATAAAACAATTTGGATTTTTTTTTAATCTTGCAAAGCATATCTGTTTGCCTGATGTTATCTCTTCTTCTTTATAGATTGTATCTCAGAGAAAACTGTCTAAAGCTTTATTGAAGCAAGGAAACACAGCTGGCAAATCATCTATCACAGTAAGAAAAGATGTTTCAACCCAAATAATTCATATTCTGAATTGTGCTCTATTGTTATAATATGAGAAATGTCTTCTCTTAATCACAGGTCACAGCTGAAGAGCTGTCTGGGAATGATGACTATGTGGAGCTCGCCTTCAGTGCCAAGAAACTGGATGACAAGGTGAGATTTCTCTACAATTACTCAAAGATACGAGACAAACATCTGAAAACAATGTTTTATTTTGCTGGTTAATTATGCTGGTGCGTTATTTCTTACTTTATATAAATATACTGCTCTTTTTATTATGCCAATAAAAAACTATTTGGAGTAAGTCTTTTTAAAAAAAAAAAAAACATACTTCAGATTAGTGTCTAAAAAGTGTGTGTGAGAAAAAATGGTACAGAGGATACATTTTTGTTCCTAAATGTAACAAAATATATACAAGGTAATTGTACTTTTAAAGGTCCCAAATTGGTTCTTAGGTTACACTTTTGTACCCAAATGGGCTATAAAAGGTCCAAACATTTAGATTTAGATTTGAAAGGTTTTCGTATAGCACATTTGGGTACAAAATTGTACCTAAAAGACCATTTTGGCACCTTTGAAGGTACAATTAATACTATATAAATAGGAACAAAACTGTACCCTCAGCTCATAAAAAGATCAAGACACCAAATAACACTAATTTAAATGTATTAATACTAAACATTAATACTAAAATACATCATTTTAAAAATTACTGTTAATAAATTTATTGAATTAAATATTTTCATATTTTATTTTTTTCATGTTTTCAAATTTAATTTTTCCTAAAAATACTTATAATTTAATGTACACAGCATGTGTATTTGGATATAACTAAGTTTTCTGACCACACTTCGTTATTATTGTTCGTTTATTCATTTGCTGGAAATGAGAACTGAATTTAGAAATAGTTCTAAAACAAATATCTGCGCCTAACAAACGAAATTAATTATTTATAGGCTAATTGATGTCTGTGCATACAAGGTTTCCCTATCCACGAGAGCGAAAGTGAAAGTAGATAATAAGAGGCCTTATCTCTCATTCTCGAGCTGCAGATGCTCTGTTTAACTGTTTTCTTGCTTGTGAAACGCTCAATTTTTCCACTTACAAAGCCGTCATGTAAATGTAAATGAATAAACCAAAAAGACTCTGATTGGTTTATTCTCAAAACACACCTATAACTCATTAAGAAAATAAGCTCAACCCTTTTAGACCATGCGTCAAGGCGCAAAGCGGATTTTAGCAAAAGTGGATTCTGACACGCCCTGAATGCGTTTGCGACCTGCACTTGGCGCATGGATCGTCAAAATCGAGGCCTTGGTCATCAGACCAATCAGCACAGATTAGTATGACACTGAGCAGGGGTTTGGGAACAAATGAATTTCTAAACGAATCATATGGGAGTCATTGGGATAATTAGGTAAAAATAAATGCATATTATAGGATAATTATTAGTTGTTTTTTTACCTTGCATGCATTTCATACTTTTGTTGGAGACCACCAAAACCAAAATATGACCTTTTTTAATGCATAATAGGGGCTCTTTAAAAAAAAGAGAGGTATAAAGTTTTTTTTAATGTGACTTTGAATTATCTAAAACTTCAATGAAACTGTCTAATTTTCATAAACAGGTTTTGTTGTATTGCAAAATGCTGTACAAACATAACTTCAGTCCGTATAATGTATCATTATGGAATAGTCGCTGTATATTAATGCAACATAAATCTTTTTTTTTTTTTTTTTTGGAGGACTGGTGGCAAAATGGTAATTAGTCAGTACTGCATATTGTGGATAAGAATTGTTAACTACAATTTAATAAATTAAATTTAATTGTGTTAAAAAAAAGATTATTTGAAGTAGGGCTCTGTGATTTCGTGAACACATCGAATTGCGTTTTTTTTTTGTTGTTGTTTTTTTGACAGATATTGCGGTTGCAATTTGATTTACAATTTAATTCAAGCTTCAGCTCTGTTGCAACAATTCTGCAACAGCTCTTAAAAATTACCTGTTTTTGTTCGGTTTCTGACTTTGAAAGCAAAATATTCCTATATTACAAATGCTGTTTTTCTTTGATATTAATTTGTCTGATAATGCTTCTGAAGCTGCAGATGCCATAATCCCATTAGTCAGCGCTTTCCTGTTTTTTTATTATTGTGGGCATAGTTCAGTTGCACAATTCTGGAGGTTTGCTCACTCAATTGGCTACTTATAAAGCCCCAGTCAGATCAAACTATTTCAGCTTGATTTTCTTGATGTAGGGTGTCATGGGGGGTCGTAAACAAAAAATGGACGTTGTAAAAACAAGATTCAACCGTTTCTTTTTATGTGGCATAGTTCACGACAACCGATACCATGTCCGTGATGTCTCACAACACCATTGCAGAAAGTCTAGTATGATTTATTTTCTAAGACATATAGCGGACTGGTTTTGAAGATGTTATTCTTTTTTTTCGTTTACATGTATACAAATATATTTTATATCGCAGCCTCTTGCTTTACACCCGCAGGGTCTGGTCAAAAGAAACTGACCGTAAAGTCAGACAGATAAAAAGAAAAGTAGAAAGTGTCCTGAACTACATCATATCATAAATATCTTTCAATATTTTAAACAAATTATTTTTATTATTTTTATAAATTATTTTATTGATTATACAGACTTTTATAATCATTCGAGATTTTTTTAAATCAAACTTTGATGCATCATTTGCTTCTGTTCATATCTCAGACAGTTTTAGCTATTAAAATGTATTAAAATATTAATGACAACCGAACATGGGTTGCTCTACAAATATTTTTATACAAATTTTTTATTATTGAAGAATAAAAGCAAAAAAAAGTACACTTATTAAAAAAATACAGATTTTTACATTTTTTTTATTTAGCCCGCTCCACAATTCACACATTATTGTCTGGCAAGTTTCTGTCCTCTTCTTATGCTAAAAAGGCAATAATGGTCCAACATTCTTGACCATTATCACCAATAAAGCCTAGAAAAACAGGGCATCATTATATCATCAAAGAAATAATTTGTTCCTTAATTATAGTTTTGTACCTATTAAATTGTTTTAAATTGTGTAAGTGTAAAACCCATGACTGGGGGAAAATCCTATTCCTGTAATTGCGTACCTGGGTCTCCACTTTTGCCATGGCCTCTTTTGGCTTTTGTTCACTTCTGTCACTGGTTCGGTCCCAGCATATCCCCTCACCAATCAGTAGAGGCCCTCATCTCCTGAATATTAACCACCTGTCTAACTCTGATTGCACTGCACCTGATGCCTATTTACAGGGTGCTTAAATACCAGCTCAGTGCAAGGACTCAGTGTAAAGTCTTGTTTTGCTACCAAACATTTCTGAGCGGTCCTACTATTTCTGACTGCCTTTCTGTTGCCGATTGCCTTCCTGCCCTGACCAAAGCCTGTCTCATCCTATCGAACTGTAAACTGCCTGCCCTGACCGAAGCCTGCTCTACCGTTTCTGAATTATTGCTGCTTGTCCCTGGATTTTCTGTGTTTCCATAACTGTGTTTTCAATAAAGCTCGTAAATGGATCTACATCCCTCTGAGTCATCATTACAACTTCAGTCTCAAAAAAAGATAAAAAATCTTGCACTTCTGCCAGCCAAAATTATGTTGCGTGCACCCAAAGCGAACACAAGCGAAACGCAGCAATGACATCACATTTGCCGTGCATACTTAAGCGCATAAAAAAAATATATAAAAATAATATCTTGCGGACATGTTGAGTATAAACCAAGCTTTATGCAATGGATTTCCTTCCAGCTGCATCCTATTACTGGGAAACATCCATACACACTCACTGTCAAACATATTTTTCTTAATTGTAATTTGGTTAATCCTTTCTGGTCTGATGTGGGCTACTGGATATAACAGTATATTTTAATGTTTCCATCTATTTGTTGGAACATTGTGAAATTTGGAGTACGTTTGAACAACATAAATGATGAATTAACTGCAAATTGTTTACTTATTTTAATAAAATTCTTTATAATGTCAGCATAGGCCATTTATTCCACAATAACTGCACCTAGAAACGGAGGGCATTAATCAGTCAAAACAAATTTTTTTTGCAAGCACCAGCAAATGAATTTGCAAATATTAATAATTGTGCTTTTTTTTTTAGACATTCATAACACTTATTTGTGTAAAATGTTATATAATTATTTTGATTGTTTGTTTAGGACTTTTTTAGCAAATCAGATCCATTTCTGGAAATCTTCAGAGTGAATGATGATGGCACAGCATCACTGGTTCATAGAACAGAGGTGAGACTTATAGTTACACACACACACATTCATCATGTACATTAACTGGCTACTTTATTTGGTACAGCTTACTAGTACCGGGTTTGATTTCAGAACTGCCTTAATCCTTCATGGCATAGATTCAACTAGGTATTGGAAATATTCCTGAGAGTTTTCCCTGAGAATCACGCAGTTGCTGCAGATTTAGCTGCACATACATGATGCGAATCTCCCGTTCCACCACATCCCAAAGGTACTCTATTGGATTGAGTTCTGGTGACTGTGTGGGCCATTTGAAACAGTGAACTCATTGTCAAGATTGTGGTCAAGAAACCAGTCTGAGATGATTCGCGGTTATGACATTGTGTGTTATCCTGCTGTAGGTAGCCATCAGAATATGGTCATAAAGGATAGACATGGTCAGCAACAATACTCATGTTGGCTGTGGCAATAACACAAGTCTCAATTGGTACTATTGGGCCCAAAGTGTGCCAAGAAAATATCCCTTACACCAGGGATGTCAAACTCAATTCCTGGAGGGCCGCAGCCCTGCACAGTTTAGTTTCAACCCTAATTAAACACAGCTGATCAAACTAATTGAGTCCTCCTGGCTTGTTTGAAACCTACAGATAAGTGTGTTGAAGCAGGGTTCAGACTAGGCAGTGGTTTTCCAATCTTCTATTGTCCCATTTTGGTGAGCCTGTGTGAATTGTAGCCTTAGTTTCCTGTTCTTAGCTGACAGGATTGGCAGCCAATGTGTTCTTCTGTTGCTGTAGCCCATCTGCCTCAAAGTTTGACGTGTTCTCCATTCAGAGATGCTCTTCTGTATACTTTGATTGTAATGAGGGGTTATTTGAGTTACTGTTTCTATCCACTCAAACCAGTCTGGACATTCTCCTATGACCTCTGGCATTATCAAGGCATTTGTGCCCACAGAACTCACTGGATGTTTTCTCGTTTTCTGACTATTCTCTGTAAACCATAGAGATGGTTGTGCATGAAAATCCCGGTAGATCACCAACAACCACGGCACGTTCAAAGTCATTTAAATTACCTTTCTTCCCCATTCTCATACCCGGTTTGATTTACAGCAGGTATTGAATTATAAGTCTACATGCCTAAATTCATTGAGTTGCTGTCATGTAATTGGCTGTTTAGAAATTTGTATTAACAAGCAGTTGAACAGGTGTACCTAATAAAGTGGTGCCGGTAAGTGTATATTAAATACATATTTCAGACATGTATGTCAGATTGACTCAATAAGGCAAATATGGTAAAGGCAAAATTCCAAAAAGGGGTGTGGAAGATCTGCTGATAATGACAAGAAAAAAAACGAGACAGCGCAATTTACCAAGAGTAGCACAAAATACAAACAATGAAGCTTGGTAAACAATGTTTAGATAAACTACTCTTCTGGGATTTTTCTGCCATGCAAATTAAATAATACCCATATAAGTAAACTGACTACCAGAATCATTAGTAAATCACATTGCATAAATTATGCATCTGATAAGGAAAGCTCTACAAATCCATATGCAGAAAGGCTAAACTAAGAATTGTTTTTTACTGCATGTCTTTATTAAAATCTGACAGTAGTTTTTAACAGCAAAATATGGGTATTAATAATTCTTGTCCTTGGTGATCTTATGTTTTTATTATTATTATTTACAGACAATTATGAACAATCTCAGCCCTGTCTGGAAATCATTCAAAGTTTCATTAAACACACTCTGCAGTGGAGATCATGATCGGGAGTTAAAGGTAGGTCAGATATTTCAGCTGGATCCACTTATTACAAATGAAAAATAATTTCAATATATTTTTGAACTACAAGTCATTTAACGTATTTAATAAATATAGAAAAAAATATAAAATAAATACTGCGCTACATACAGTATGAGGCTTTTATGTCATATTTTGCTATTGTTGTTTTTTTATTCTGGTCCAAGCGTGACCATTTGGTCACAATAGATCAGAATCAGCTTGGCAGATTCATGTAATGGCAGTCTTATCCATTCTGCCTCACCATTGCAGCTGACATCTTTCATAGTGAGCTAATTACTGAGCGGGTAAACGGAGGCTGACTGTTTGGAGGGTCTTGACAGTTTGCTGAGAGGAGCAGACGTGGTGGAACCAACAGCAGAAATTGATGTTACTCCCTTTTAGTTCATTTTAGCTCACATGGCCCCCTTGAGTTTCTATAACAAAGAATGCTGTAGAAGACTATGACAAGCAAGAAACACGGTTATCTTCCGGATATGACAGAACACGATCAAATGAGAATAGACTCAAATTACTAAAAAAATGACTTTACATACATTATAGACTGCTCTTCCTCTTTTCAGACAATTATCCTCGTTGTTCTGAAAGACTTTCATATCCTGTGGGACAGTTGAATTGTTGGTTCTGATTGGCTGATGAGTATTATACAGTAAATGCATAGTTCAAGGCAGGTGCATTACAGGGTCAAGCAGTTGTAAAGGTGCTACTGTTGGACATTGTTGAGCAATGCACACAGCTGTTTTTATCACACATGCTTAATCTTTCTCTTTCTCAATATTAAGTGTACTAATAAGTGCATAAATCTGCTATCAGCATATGATAAGATGCATTAGAAACACAAAAAACCTGAAAATGTTTTTGAAATAAAACATATGCACATTAATGACCTACCAGTCTTAAAAGCAAATATTTTCCTAAACAAGCCCCTTTTTAAGAAGATTCTGACATTCACTAATGATATCTTATCTGTAATTTGTTTGAACTACACTGTTAAAAATTGTCCCGTTAAAAAACAGTAAAATACTGGCAGCTGCAGTTGCCAGCAATGTACTGTTATTTTACATTATGTTGCTGTAAAAATACATGGACTACATTGATTTACACAATACTCAAGTGAACTCATTTTGCTCACTGAAAGCAACTGCCTCAACTTGGTCAACTGCTGAATGAGTTTATGAATTAATGTCCTATATATGCTTAGAAGCATACTTATAATGATAACTTATTTTAGTTAATTAGAAAAGTTTGGTTTAACTCTAATGTCTTATTCTTCACAACAGCACACATACATGTAAATCTGGAATCACCAGAGAGATTCTGACTGCATCAGCAACTAAACAGCCGCTGTCTTTAAATAAAGAAACATGCAGAATAACATCAGCAGCTCATTGTTCATCTTTAACTCATAAACTGGCTCTACTCTCCTCCACAACGGTGACACACAGAAGAAATTAGCTTCAGGTTTTACAGTAAAATACAGTTTTTCCTTGATTTAACAGTAATCTACTGGCAGCTGTGGTTGCCAGCAATATACTGTTTTTTTACAGTCTACTTCCGTTGTGTAAATTAACAGTATATTACTGTTAAAATAAATTTTTACACTGTGTTTTTACCTCTCACACCTTTAACCCTTTAAACCCCAGAGCATATACTTCAGTTTTATTTGAAGTGTCCACACTACTGAGTGTTCAAGAAACATGGAGCAAAGCTGAAGTAAATTCATTAATTAACTGACTAATTAAATGATAATTGAGGATTAACAATGACTAAAGGAAGAAATACTGAAGGGAAAAAACAAGAACAGAACATACAAAACTTTAGTCACAGCTTTATAATGAAATAACCTGAAGAACAACAAATGATTAAATCATTTAAATGATCAGCGGATGATTAAACAACTCTACAAACATCATCACCAGCTACACTTATTACTTAATACATGTATTTTTGTATAACATCTACTAAAGTTCTTCTTGAGAAAAAGTTAAAGTTTTACGTCACCATCATGGAGAACAGAGTTTGCTTTAGTTGGGCTCTTAGCCCTGTTATTTTTAACATTTATATAATTTGGCTGCTGCAATTGTTAAGAACTTTGTTTAAAAAGCTCATTTGCTGAGGCAAGCCAGCCAAAAACCTAAATAAGATCTGGTGATGTTCATGTTGCTATTAAATGGCAGAGTCTGTTCTCATTTAGTATAATAAAATTGACTGCTCCTATTCAATGTTAAATCTATTGTTTTACATTATATGTATATATATATGGCAATGATTTCTGGAAGTTTTTAAGAATATCTTGGACAATAACACTGCTCTATGGTGTAAATCGCACTCAAAGAGACATCAATAATCAGCATATGAACCTCAATAATGGTGATAACAAATTTAACAAAATTTAACAAAATTAACAGTTTAACTCACAAACAGGCAACTGAAAGTCTAAACATAAACAACAGCAGAATCAAACACAAATAAAGAAAACCGTTAGACCATGATGTATTTGTCATAACTGAACTGTTTTTGTATGTTGTTTCTTAACTGTTAAGTAATTACGGAGGTATTTTTTCTGTTTCCACTTCTCATTAATTAAATTAATACCTGCAACTAAGCATAAAATCTATTGCATGAGGCCCTTCTTCCAGATTTATACCAAAACATTTATCAGAACTAATTTCAGATAAATAGATTTCTCTATTTATTGACTTCCCAACTTTATTGCTATAATACAAATGTTTTGTAAACTCTGTATTACAGCAGTTGGAAAGTCTTCTTAATTGAGTTCAAGGGTGAAGAACCCAACTAAACCAGCCCCTCACTCCATTACGGTGACACAAAAAACACCTTAATTTCTGTTGGATCTCAATGAGAATTGTATGGACGTCAAATCAGTCAGTAATAAGTGTGTGTCTGCTGTTGTTTGTGGAGTTGTTTAATGATCCTCTGCTGAGACTGAAGCTGTTTTATTTTATTTGATTTTATTTAATGTTGTAACTCAAGTCACTGTTTGTATTTCTTGTTTATTTTCTTCAGTAATTGTAATTATTAACAGCAGGTGTTCATCAGTGTCTGAATTCACTCATTAGTGTTCATTAAAACTGTCAGGTGAACTATATTAGTTAACTAGTGTATGAAATAGTGAACAAGGACACAAAGCGTGATTTCAAACACAGACTTCAAAACATCGAATCTGAACTCTGTTAGCTCACAGTTTTCTGCAGTTGGTTACTTTCTCGAAAACAAAAATGATACCCACACTGTTAAAAATTGTCCCGTTAAAAAACAGTAAAATACTGGCAGCTGCAGTTGCCAGCAATGTACTGTTATTTTACAGTATGTTGCTGTAAAAATACATGGACTACATTGATTTACACAATACTCAAGTGAATTGCTCACTGAAAGCAACTGCCTCAACTTGGTCAACTGCTGAATGAGTTTATGAAGTAATGTGCTATATATGCTTAGATATGCATCTTATATATATGCATCTTTATATGGCAATGATTTCTGGAAGATTTTAAGAATATCTTGGACAATAACACTGCTCTATGGTGTAAATCGCACTCAAAGAGACATCTATAATCAGCATATGAACCTCAATAATGGTGACAACTAACAAAATTAACAGTTTACCTCACAAACAGGCAACTGAAAGTCTAAACATAAACAACAGCAGAATCAAACACAAATAAAGAAAACTGTTAGACCATTATACAACATTTATTTATACCGCAATGCATGCTGGGATATTTGTACCGTGCCACTCCCAGCATGCATTGCAGCATAAAACATTTATGATGTTAACATTATTGAGATACAAGGTCAAATTCAGGAGGTCTGAGTGTGTATTTGTCATAACTGAACTGTTTTTGTATGTTATTTCTTAACTGTTAAGTAATTACGGAGGTATCTTTTCTGTTTCCACTTCTCATTAATTAAATTAATACCTGCAACTAAGCATAAAATCTATTGCATGTGGCCCTTCTTCCAGATTTATAACAAAACATTTATCAGAACTAATTTCAGACAAATAGATTTCTCTATTTATTGACTTCCCAACATTATTGCTATAGTTTAAACGATTTGTAAACTCTGTATTACAGCAGTTGGAAAGTCTTATTAAATGAGTTCAAGGGTGAAGAACCCAACTAAACCAGCCCCTCACTCCATTACGGTGACACAAAAAACACCTTAATTTCTGTTGGATCTCAATGAGAATAGTATGGAAGTCAAATCAGTCAGTAATAAGTGTGTGTCTGCTGTTGTTTGTGGAGTTGTTTAATGATCCTCTGCTGAGACTGAAGCTGTTTTATTTTATTTTATTTTATTTAATGTTGTAACTCAAGTCACTGTTTGTGCTTCTTGTTTGTCTTTCCTTCAGTAATTGTGATAATTAACAGCAGGTGTTCATCAGTGTCTGAATTCACTCATTAGTGTTCATTAACTCTGTCAGGTGAACTATATTGGTGAACTAGTTGATGGAATAGTGAACAAGGGCACAGAGTGTGATTTTAAACACAGACTTTAAAACATCGAATCTGAACTCTGTTAGCTCACAGTTTTCTGCAGTTGGTTACTTTCTCGAAAACAAAAATGTTACCCAGAAAGCACTGTTTTTAACAGAATATTACTGTTTTAGTGAAAAAACATTATTTTACCGTAGAATCTGACCGTTTTTTAACAGCAATTTTTTACAGTGAAGAAAGCACTGTTTTTAACAGAATATTACTGTTTTAGTGAAAAAACATTATTTTACCGTAGAATTTGACCGTTTTTTAACAGCAATTTTTTACAATGTAGGAACAGAATCTATGAACAGTCCAGTCGTACACATATTTGAGTGATGATCATTTGTTTAGATCAGTTAGAACAATTTTGTCCATTACAAGTCAATACAATTATAGGGCTCTATTTTAACAATCTAGGCGCAAAGTATAAAGCACATGGCACAAAAGCATCAAGGCTGTGTCTGAATCTACTTTTGC